TGGGGTTACGGTAAGCGGGGTCTTGGGTGTGGAGGGGGGGCAGTGCGGTTGCGAGGTCAGAGGAGGGAAGAAATGAGGGGGAGATGGGGGGGGGGGGGGAGGCTAGGTGGGGAGGTAGATTGCGAGTTGACTATGTCCTGACGGATTGCATCAATCTTGTTGTGGAAATGAGTGGCAATTTCGTGGGCGGTGAGTGAGGTACTGAGTGGAGGAGGAGGGGGAGAGAGCAGGGAGTTGAAGGTGGAGAAGAGTCGGCGAGGGCAGGTGGAGAGGGTGTTAATCAGGTTTACGAAGTAAGCCTGCTTGGCGGCGTGGAGGGAGGAGGTGTGTAAGTGAGGAAGGCAGATTTGTAGAGGAAGAATGAACGGGGGGGACCTGGTTTTGCGCCATAGTCTCTCTAGCGCGCGACTGCGACGTTTGAGGCATTTAGTGTGGTCGTTCTGCCATGGTTGGAGCGGTCTGGGTTTGATGTAGTGTGTGGTTAGGGGTGCCAGAGCGTCTAGGGTAGCTGATAGTGAGTCGTTGTACGTGTTAGTGGCTAGGTCAGGACAAGACAGTGGAAGGATGCTGTCGTGTAGGCGGTCGGCAGCTAAGTGGAGGGGGGCCGGGTTCAGGTTGCGGAGGTTGCGGCTGGTGATGGTTTGGCGCTCTGGGGGGGGGGGGGAGTTAGAGGAAGGGGAGATGGAGAACGTGAGGAGGTGGTGGTCGGAGAGAGGGAAGGGGGTGTTAGAGAACTGGTTGAGGGTACAGAGGTGGGAGAAGACGAGGTCCAGGGGTGTTCCCAATGATGTGGATGGAGGACTGAGTGTGCTGTGTGAGCGTGAAGGAGGAGGTTAGGTGGAGGAGTTGGGAAGTAGCCAGGCTGTTGTCATTGATGGGGATATTGAAGTCCCCGAGGATGATGGTTGGTAGCTCAGAGGAGAGGAAGAAGGGAAGCCAGGCGGCGAAGTCATCCAGGAAGCGGGGTATGGATCCGGGAGGCCTGTAGATCACTGCGATCCTTAGGGGGGTGGGGGGGTGAAGAGCCGGATACAGTGAGCCTCGAAGGAGGAGAAGGTTAGGGAGGGAGGGTTAGGGAGGACCTGGAAGGTGCTCAGCGGTGATAGGAGCAGGCCGACCCCACCACCTTTGTGACCGCTCAGTCTTGGTGAATGGGACCAGACGAGACCTCCATAGGAGAGTGCCGCAGGGGAGGTGGAGTCAGTGGCCTGTACCCAGGTTTCGGTGATGGCTAGGAGGTTAAGGGAGTGGGAGATAAAGAGGTCATGGATGGCAGTAAGTTTGTTGCAGACCGAGCGGGCGTTCAGGAGTGCAACCGAGAGAGGGGGGATGGATGCGGGGAGAAGGGGCACAGATATGAGGTTGAGGGGGTTACGGCAGCTGGCAGGAGCAGGGGGTCCCTAGAGGAGGGGTGAGATGGCGAGGGGCCAGGGTTCGGGGAGATGTCCCCAGCAGATAGGAGAAGGAGAAGGGTGAGAAAGGTGGCATGGGGATGGGAAGTGTAGGAGCGTGTGGGTCTGATAGTGGTGGCATGTGGGTCGACGGGGGGGGAGTGGAGTAGGCAGGAGGAGGTGGTGAGTGCCGTAGTGGGGAGAGGGGAGAAGTGAAGGGGCAATGTAGAGCTGTTTTGGGGGGGTAGGCAGGTAGAGGGAGGTGATTTTTGGGATGGTGGAGAGGAAAATGAGGAGGAGGAGTGCAGGAGGCATGTTGGGGTGGGTGGGGTGACAGTTGGGTCAGGGGAGGTGAAGGGATACAGGTCAGGGCAAGGTGGTGTGGGGAATCTGTATTGTGGATGGTCAACAGTATCAAAAGCCGCAGAGAGGTCAAGTAGTAAGAGTACAGAGTAGTGGCCATTGGTTTTAGCAGTTAGTAAATCATTAGTGAGTGTTAGTAGGGCAGTTTCTGTGGAGTGGAGTGGCTGAAAATAAGACTGTAAGGGGTCAAGAAGTTGTTATCAGTGAGGTAGGAGCTCCGGCGATTGTAGACTAAGCATTCTAAGAGTTTAGAGGTAAACGGGAGAAGGGAGATGGGTCTTAAGTTGTTCAGGTTGGTGGGGCCCGAGAGCTTTTTAAGTATGGGAGTGATGTGTGCATGCTTTAGAGGGGTGGGGAAGGCACCATTGGAGAGGGAGAGATTGAAGATGTGAGTGAGGGAGCATAGGATGGAAGAAGAGGGTGCCCGTAATAGTTGAAAGGGGACAGGATGCAGAGGGCAGGTGGTGAGGCGGGCTTCTGAGAAAACTTTAGTGACCTCTTCAGTAGTGGCAAGGTCAAAAGAGGAAAGTGTTGAGGGAGATTTAGCACAAGATATGCTAAGTGGGATAGATGTCTGTGCAGTAGTGTGCCCCTACAAATTGCATCAATCTTGTTTTTGAAATGATTTGCACTGTTGTAAGCAGTGAGTTACTGGGTGGAGGTGGAGAAAGTAGAGAGTTAAAAGTAGAAAAGAGACGACGAGGACTGGATGACAAGCTATTGATGAGAGTGACAAAGTAGGCTTGTTTTGTAGCATGGAAAGAGGAATTGTATGTTAAGAAAGCAGATTTATATAGGGTGAAAGCTTGCTGAGATTTGGTTTTATGCCACATTCGCTCCAGTGCATGACTATGTCGCTTAAGATTTCTGGTGTTGTCAGTCTGCCAGGGTTGTAATGGTCTGGGTACGATACTTTGTGTAGTTAGGGGAGCAAGTGAGTCTAGTGTGGATGAAAGTGAACTGTTGTAGACAGCAGCGGCCAGGTCAGGGCAGGACAGGGGAGAGATTCTGTCATAGAGGCAGTCAGTTGCAGAGTGGAAAGGAGCAGGGTTCAAGTTGTGAAGGTTTCTGCGGGTAATTGTTTGCTGCTTCGGGGGATAGGTGTTTGAAGACACTGTGAAGGTGATGAGATTGTGATCAGAGAGAGGAAAGGGGGTGTTTGTGAGGTTGTAGGGAGTGCAAAGATGGGAGAAAACAAGGTCTAATGTATTCCCATCAGAGTGAGTGGAGGACTGTATGCATTGTGTTAAGGCAAAAGATGAGGTTAGGTTGAAGAGTTGGGATGTAGCCGGGTTGTTAGCATTAATGGGGATGTCAAAAACTCCAATATTGATAGAGGGTATTTCAGAGGAGAGAAAGTAGGGTAGCCAAGCAGAGACGTCATCCAGAAAGTGAGACACAGGTCCAGGAGGCCGATAGATCACTGCAATCCTCAGAGAAATGGGAGAAAAAAGCAGAATGCAGTGAGCCTTGAAATAAGAGAAGGATAGAGAGGACTTGAAAGGTGCTCAGTGGGGAGACATAATTGGCTATAAGGTGTTTTTTCCCTATAAATAGCTCAATCAGGTAAAAAAAGCATTATGGTCACTAGGTCCCTAACCCTCAAGGGGTGTACAATCTAAGGTCCCTAACTCACATTCATACATACACATACTAGGGAAAATTTAGACAGGATCCAATTAACCTACCAGCATGTCTAGCTCCCTTGGTCTCTTGGAGCGTGGGAGGAAACCGGAGTACCCGGAGGAAACCCACGCAGGCACAGGGAGAACATGCAAACTCCATGCAGGAGGCGCCATGGTCGGGAATCGAACCTATGACCCATTTACTGCAAGGCAGAAGTGCTAACCACTAAGCCACTGTGCCGCCCAATCTGACCATATTTTAAATGTGTTAACGTACAGTTAAGGGGGGATATGATCTCCATGTATAATACATAAGGGGGGATATGATCACCATGTATAATACATAAGAGGGGATATGATCTCCATGTATAATACATAAGGGGGGACATGATCTCCATGTATAATACATAAGGGGGAATATGATCACCATGTATAATACATAAGGGGGATATGATCTCCATGTATAATACATAAGGAGGGATATGATCTCCATGTATAATATAAGGGGGGATATGATCACCATGTATAATACATAAGGGGGGATATGATCTCCATGTATAATACATAAGGGGGGTATGATCACCATGTATAAATACATAAGGGGGATATGACCTCCATGTATAATACATAAGGGGAATATGATCTCCATGTATAATACATAAGGGGGGATATGATCTCCATGTATAATACATAAGGGGGGATATGATCTCCATGTATAATACATAAGGGGGATATGATCACCATGTATAATACATAAGGGGGGATATGATCACCATGTATAATACATAAGGGGGATATGATCACCATGTATAATACATAAGGGGGGATATGATCTCCATGTATAATACATAAGGGGGGATATGATCTCCATGTATAATACATAAGGGGGGGTATGATCTCCATGTATAATACATAAGGGGGATATGATCTCCATGTATAATACATAAGGGGGATATGATCTCCATGTATAATACATAAGGGGGATATGATCTCCATGTATAATACATAAGGGGGGATATGATCACCATGTATAATACATAAGGGGGGATATGATCTCCATGTATAATACATAAGGGGGGGTATGATCACCATGTATAATACATAAGGGGGGATATGATCTCCATGTATAAATACATCAGTGGTTCATATAGTGAACTCGGTGTAGATCTATTCACACTGAGGTCCCACAGAGGATCACAGAGGACAAGGGGGCACTCTTTACATCTGGAGGAAAAGAAATTTAATCTCCAAATATGGAAAGGTTTCTTCACAGTAAGACCTGTGAAAATGTTGAATAGACTCCCTTTAACCTCCTTGGCGGTATTCCCGAGTGTAGCTCGGGGTAAAATTTCTATACCAAGAGCGGTAACCCCGAGCTACACTCGGGCTTACCATGCGGCGTTCTCCGGGGGTCCCTGCAGCACTTACCTTGTCCTTCGCTCCCGAGATGTGTCCCCTGCAGCGTCCCCGGCCATCTCCTCCAGCCGATGCCGGCATCCGGCTTCCGTGTTCCGGTCCCTGTGACGTCGGGACGTACGGGCGCCGGAAACGGCAGGAAATTTGAAATTTTTAAAAAATGTCATTTTTGCTGTCATTGCTGTTTTCAATGCATTTCACATACATTTTGTCCCTACTGCTTTGTCCTGTGCCCTGCCTGCATTTTGACTGTTCTTTCTGCCTGGAAACTTAGAAAAGTCCATGGCGTCCAAAAAGCGTCCCTTTACGTCAAAAGCAGTTTTAGACCAGCTAGAGAACAGCGATAGTAAATCAGAACCACTTGCAGAATTGAGTGATAATGATTCGTGGGGGAAATTCATCATCAGACACTGAAAACGATTTTGCGACTTTGCTCAGCGATGTGCGAATTTGCCTCTGTATTTCAAATTTCAGTGTTTTTGGTTTGATTATATTATTGAATTAAATTTATTATTATTATATTATTATTTTTTATGATTATTTATTAAATTATAATTTATGATTTCGTGTTTCAAATTTTATCCTACCCGGGATGTTTACTAGACTCTTGTTCGTACAGGTTTCAGTGAGTTATTCCTAAAAATTACAGCCTACAATAAAAAACTACATATTTCCATGCAAAAAAATAGTACCGCTTTCAGCACAAAAAATCGGAAAGAATCATACCGCCAAGGAGGTTAAGAGTTGGTTCTGGCCAGCTCAGTGGATTGCTTTAAAAAACGTGGAATATTTCTTGGATACACAGAATATAACTGGATATAACATTTATAGATACAGTTGATCCAGGGAATATCCGATTGCCTCTTGGGGGATCAGGAAGGAATTTTTTTCCCAGCAGAAGCAAATTGGATCATGCTTTGCTGGGTTTTTTGACCTCCTCTGGATCAACTGTGGGTGTAGGAATATAACTTTTTTTTTTTTAATGGTTGAACTGAGTGGATTTTTGTCTTTTTTCAGCCAGACTAACTATGTAACACCTACTGTAAAACATGGAATAATTAAAGAAAGCTGAAGATTCCTTTATGAACACTGTTAGCTGAGATGTCCATTCAGTAATTCTGAATACAAATAATTTAGGTTAGAAATCCTCTTAAATGTATATTTGTGATCTCCTTGTTTTATTTTCAATACTTAGGATTTCTATTTTTTAGATTTTATACACAAAAGGTGAAGATGCATTTTTCCTACAATTTTTATTATTCATGTATAAAGACTGACACAAAGGTATCCAAATTAATACTTTGGTAAACATTGTATCAGTGCCGCCTATCAGTACCCGTCAGTGCTGCCTATCAGCGCTGCCTAACAGTGCCAATCAGTGCCAAGCAGTAACTTTACTGCTATCATTTTGTCTTTTTGAGACACTGCAATGTATATATGTGTTAAGTCAGCAATATACTGTATAATATATATATACAGGTGTATATATATATATATATATATATATATATATATATATATATATATATATATATATATATACACTCACTGACCACTTTATTAGGTACACCTGTTCAGTTGCTTGGTAACACATATTACTAATCAGCCAATCACATGACAGCAACTCAATGCATTCAGACATGTAGACGTGGTGAAGACGACTTGCTGAAGTTCAAACCAAGCATGAGAATGGGAAGAAAGGGGATTTAAGTTACTTTAAACATGGCATAGTTGTTGGTGCCAGACAGGATGGTGTGAGTATTTAAAATTTACTAAAATAATGGCACTTCCATGTTGTGTATACTGTGGGAGACCAGATATAGTGAATGCAGGATCCAGGGAGACCAGATATAGTGAATGCAGGGTCCCGGGAGACCGGATATAGTGAATGCAGGTTCCGGGGAGACCGGATATAGTGAATGCAGGGTCTGGGGAGACCGGATATAGTGAATGCAGGGTACTTGGAGACCGGATATAGTGAATGCAGGGTCTGGGGAGACCGGATATAGTGAATGCAGGGTCCTTGGAGACCAGGTCCTGGGTTTAGCAACACTTTAACCTCCCGACCCTTTAAGAGTTTCAGAAGCCAGGAGGAGGGCGGGTTTTAGGTTCACGTGACCGCTGTGATTCGCCATCATGGCGGTCACATGATCGGAAAAGGTCCCAATCGAAGGGAGAGATCAGGACCTTTCCATGAGTCACGGACATATGTGCTGGGAGCACGCAGGGTGTGCGCTCTCAGCACATATGTATTTTCTAATTGCATGCAAGTATGTGGCCGCTGGCATCAAGGCCTAGATGCCGAGAGTCCGCATATTTGCGTGTGCCCAGCGTCAAGGGGTTAATGTTTGTTGGAATAGATAGGGATGTAGGAGGTGCAAGTAGTCTATTGTCCTATAGGTGGCACTGTACCAACTCTACAGGGGAAAAGTGAACTCAGTCCTCTCTGGGAAGGTAGGTATTCAATATGATGCCAAATTCTTGCCAGAGATCAGGCAGCCATCTTATCAAGGAAGCCTTTAAAAAGGGAATCCTATGTCATTTGGGTGAACTTCTAGCGAGTGGTAAGTAAGGGAAAGGGAATCCGCTGGTTAGAGACAATGCACAGGGAAAGGTTCCTGGTGAGTAGGGACAGAGCAAGGGCACTGTCTACTGCCGTAGCATCTCCCAACGATCCCTTTCATTGGGCCAGTACAGCGTGATTATACAGTGTGCTGCCACAGCTCCAGCAGAGGCTGTTTTTTGGGAACATCACTGTAACGCACACTACGGGGTCCTTTATTTTTTGCACTATAAACAAAAATAAGACCGACAATTTTGAAAAAACTTTTTTTTTGTAATTTCTGCTATAAAACATATCCAATAAAAATTTTTATAAATGTATCCCAATATATATTCTGCTACATATTTTTGGTAAAAAAAATCCCAATAAGCGTACATTGATTGGTTTGCATAAAAGATATATCATCTAAAAACTACGGTGTATACTATAATTTTTTTTTTTTATACCATTAATGGTGGCGATCAGAGACTTATAGCGGGACTGCGATATTGAGGTGGGCAATCTGACACTAACTGACACTTTGTGGGAACCAGTGACACTAAAACAGTGATTAGTGCTAAAAATATACACTAATGACACTGGCTGGGAAGGGGTTAAACATCTAGGGCAATCAAATGGTTAACTCAGGGGCGGACTGACCATTTGGAAACTCGGGCACTGCCCGAGGGCCCGGGGTCTGTAGGGGGCCCCATGAGATGCCCCTGGTAACTTTTTCATAGGCTTTTTTGAGTTTGGGCAAGGACACAGGGGCCCCATGATCCCCTATTGCCCGGGGGTTCCGTGAGTTGTCAGTCCACCCTTGGGTTAACTGTGTGCCTAGCCAGTGTTTACATGTGTAGTTTGTAGTGTTTTTAGCAAGGGATGTGCTGGATTTTATTCCCTGAAAAAAACCCAGCAGATCGCTGCTGTGTCCTGTCTCTTTCTCCTTGCCAATCAGAGGGTGCAGGTGGTCATCTATTGGCCAGCACCCGATGATCGGCTTCTAGTCACAGCAGAACCCCCACCAGGAAGTGCAGAACCACGCATGTGTATATATATATATATATATATATATATATATAATATTGTAAAGCGCTGAGTAAAGTGTTGGCGCTATATAAATCCTGTATAATAATAATATATATATATATATAGTAGTTCTGCGCACAGTAGCCGCCCTGTAGCAGTAAAGCTGCTATAGGCCGGTCCCCAACTGGTTATTATTGGGAACCCCTCCATGTTTATGGTGCATAGAGCCAGCAGTCCTTTTACTTTTTTTTTTTTTTTTATACTTTCATTTAGGTCTTAAAAATTATATAGTCATGAAAAATGAAGGATTAGTTCACCTTTTCACAAAAAATTGAAAAGATGAATTAAGTAACCACACCCTCCCTACCCATTGGTCATTGATGAACTTAGGTCCTTCATTGTGAATCTTTCACCACAATGCTACCCAATGTAGCATTCTGGGCATTTGAAAAAAAAAACTAAATTGGAAACAGTAAAAGTCTATACCAGGACTTTAAATATGCATCTCAGGAGTTATTGATTAACCACACAAAAATAATATCAACTGAAATGTGTGCTTTGATTGTATATACATCAGTATAAGTGCAAAAATAAAAGGATCTTTCTTCAAATACAGGTTCTGAGAGATTCTCACTGGTCTGCACATTCATGTGCCAGCACTAGCCAATGATCGCTCGTTGATTTTTTCAAATGTCCAGTGGCTGGTGTTAGCAGCAGAAAATAATTATCAAAAGGGCTGGGGGTTGGGCAGGGGTTTGTGAGTAACAATGGCCAACATTATACAATTTTCTTGTACAATTCTCCTTTAGATTTACCAAACCTAAACACTTTCAATGTTCATGCAGTCAGGCAGGCCCTTGCACTACATAGCTGAAGGTAATATAAAGAATATTGAATAAGAAAATTGTATAATGTATGGGCAGCATTAGTTTGCATTTTCACTTTTTGTACACCTCAAATTGTGGAGTCGACTGTTTCAACATACAGGTATTTGGACAGACAATCATTAGCACTTTATTCAAAGAATACCTATAGATAAAGGTGATGTACTTCAACATTTAACATGCAACATTTACATGTGTATTCAATTTTATGATCTGTATTAATGAAAATGCAGATTTGTCATTTGTAAAACGTAGGTATGCCCCCACATTTTCCACTTTTTCAAATCTGTAATATTGAGATCTGGTGTTTTTGTTTGGGTGCCAATGGTTAGAGCCTCCTTAGTAAGCATGCAGATGCAACCTGTCTTATTTAAAATTTGGCAATATAGGGTCTAGTGTTCTCTAGTTATTGACGTGTGACGTTCTCACTTGCTATTGACGTGTGTTGTGTCATCATGCCAGGATCAAAAGAGCTCTCTAAGGCCCTCAGAAAGGAAATTTGAGATATGGATAACACTGACTGTATAGGAGTCTGGAAAGGGATTTTAAAAAATTACCAAATAATTTTAAATCAATCATTCCACTGAAAGGAAAATAATCTTAAAGTGGTTTAGATTTCAAATGACTTTTAATTTATGAAAATCGTTAGAACCTCCTTAGTAAGTATGCAGGTGGGATCTGTCTTAGTTAAACCTCAGATATCTAACATCTGGTGTTCTTTGGATGATTTTGGATGCTTATGAATCTGGTAATGGATTTAAAAAGATTGCCAAATGATGGTGGCGTAGATTTAAAAAGACTTCTAGTTTGTCCAGGTCTAGGCGGCCCAGCAAATGCAACCCAAGAGCTGACCATTGGATGCTAAGAGAAGTCTCTAAGCATTCCAAAATGTAATTACGGGGTGTTTGGGTAACTCTTCCAACAGCTGAGGTCAAAAGAGATTGCACCAATTTAACCTG